TTTCACGACGAATGCCTTTTTAATAATGCCCCTAAAATTAATATGTTAATATGTCAATTCTTAAGTCGCATCAACAGTTAGTCCACATGAAGGTGAACTGTACATGTTTTTTGCCTTCTCTTTGTGTACAAATGAACAGTGTCTACTTTGAAACTATTGGCCTTTCCAGTTTGAAAATCGAAAGAGTAAAGTAGTATAAATGTTATATAAAATAAAGTTGATTTGTAAAAAAAGTTAATTAAAATAGAAATTAAGATAGAAGACAATTTTCATGATTTGTCTGTATATAGGAAAACACATTGCAGGATTAAATTTCTCACCATTTTTCCTGAATTTTTGGTCAAATTCTTTTAGAAATATGATGACCAGTTTCATACGTTTCGTAAATAGTCAAATTGTAAGTGTTTTACCTAGGTATAGCACAACATATTTATTAATATCAGAAAAGGAAGTTTTCAAAGACAAGTTAGTTTAAATCCAAGAAGGTAAAAAACTTGATTATTCGCTAATTTGATACATTTATATTGTTTTCAATCTATAAGTAAAAAGAATTTAAGGAAAAGGGTCGTAGTCACGTGGTGCAAATTCTATTAATAGAATACCTAGGATTTTGCCATATGATAAGCAAAACCCATACCGCATAGTAATAGTTATAGCATGTATTAACAGCTAACATTATTTCAAAATCAACACTATGAAGACCATATATCTTCTAAACATAGTGCTATACATTATTATAATATGTTACAATCAATCAAACATATCATAAAGATGTTTTTGTAACTTGATAAATTATAGTTAACGAGCAATATCAACTTTGAAATAAACACCTTGAAGTTCAAAATTATATTAATTCCATCTTTTTGACATGTTTGACGTCTAATGCTTGATTTGACATGGAATGATACTGCTGTCATCTCACTAGACTATTTCAAACAATGTTTTACGTTTAAAGTTTTACTTTCAGGTTCAAGCTGTCTCTCTAAAGTCTTTTAATTTAGGAAATGAATGTTGTGTGTTTGTATATCATCGGACTTGGTCATCAATAAACCGAATGACACCCTGCATAGCTCTGATTCCCTTCGAAGTTTATACTTATTGTTCGTCTATGTTGGTTTTATATGATCTTTAACGTATGCATTGTGCTGTATACTTTCTGGTAATTTGGCTACGATCATTCTTGATTTCGAAGATTCGTTAATTGTCGAAATGCTCATCCGGTGCACCATAAATTGGTACCGTTATGAAAAACTAAGGATGTTCTTATCCCAGACAAGGAGTACCTTAGCCTTATTTGGAATTTTTTGGATTTTTGGGGTCCTCAATGCTCTTCATCTTTGTACCTGTTTGGCTTTCTTACCATTTTGATCTGAGCGCCACTGATAAGTCTTATGTAGACGAAACGTGTGTCTGGCGTATTAAATTATAAGCCTGGTACCTTTGATAACTATTATGTTTTTGAGTCTACAGTGAAGTCTACTGAGACATGTTTGCAATCGAAACTTTATATTAAAACATAAATTGATGTTTTCTTTTCTATTGTTTACATGTATTATTAAATGATAAAACATACATATAACTAAGATGAAAGCAGTATCATTCCAAGTCAAGTCAATTATGATACGTCACATAGCTGGATTTAATATAGTTATGAAAATCTGATTTAAAAGTATAATTATAGCTCGTTAAGTATTTATCAAATTTCAAAAACATCTTTATCATATGATTTATTGGTTTTCATATATTATAAGAACACTTTTCGATGTTTAGAAGATATATTGTCTACTCCTTTTTTTCAAATGAATAAAATCTACGATTTTTTAAACCATTTCCTTCCAACTTGAAACTTCAAATTTCGACAACAGAAATAAATATTAAATTATTTCCGATGCAGTTTGAATATCCGTGCAAATTTAAATATTTAGAAGCAGTGGTAAAATTTATAGACCGATATGTCTGATTATTACACTCTTCAAGGTTGACTGGGTAATAAAAGTATGGTGATTTTGGTCTTATTCCTACATGTACATGTATTGGCAGTAAAACCCTCGCCGAATTAGGTCATCTGTTTAACTAGGCGGGATGTACAAGTACATAGTCACATCTTGTCAAAACGGGGGCATTAAATGCCTCCGATAAATAGAGTGTCTAGGCCCTTTCACTTTAGGAACTCTTGCAACAACACTTCGAGGGGTTTCTGGGTGGCCTGTTGCAAGGCAAAATATGTGTCTCTGTCCAAAATATCATAACTTTCCAGGAAGTTCACATTTCCCAAATCTTCATCCCGGATGTCCTCTATGACAGGACCTACCTGTTGAATTTAATGTAATTTGGTCTTTGAACGTGCATGAATTGTTTGCCACTGGACGTAAAGTAACATTTAGTCAATCAGTCATCATTAATACGCAATCTATTCTCAAAACTGCGTGATCTAATTTCATCAGGAATTATTGTTTTATTGAGTTGTAGCGCTTTGAACAATCATTTCAATTTCATTGTAATTGAAATCCATTTAGATATTGGGTTCTCGGGGAGAATCCTTATGGTTGTATTCCTTAGTACAAAGTCAATATTATTATTTTGTCGAAGTTTACAAAATATAATGCTAAAAATGCTTTATATGTTGAAGACTAAGTATGAATCATGCAGTCCTCGAACTAGGGAGCATGTCGCGATCCTAGCACGCTAAAGAACCCCGGCAACAACTCCTTCGGAAGATGTTGGAAACCTTTTGCAAAGCAAAACCTTTTACCCCTTCCCCTCACTTTCCATTGCAAGTTAAATCTTTTATTGCATATGATCGCTTTGCAGAACCTACCTAATTGATTGATTATTACCGTGTACATGACCTGATATGCATATAATATTAGCCACTGGATGATGCATTGAAGGATAGTTGCAGCTTCGCTACGAAAGAGAAAAATAATAAAAGTCGTTTCATTTGTAATAAGTCAATATAACAATTATGAAATTAATCTTTTTGTACAAACATTTATCAATTCTTGCATTTGAGATATTATAAAATAGTTTACAAATGTCAATATAGAAAGTTGCCGAGTAACCGCGTTCTGTGATCAAACATTATATTAACATACTGCGTTATGCAATTGTGAAAAAAGGAATGCATGCTTTTAAAATCGTTTTAAGACCAATTTTATTACAATTATGGTACATTAATTTTCCTTAATTATTATATTCCCTGATAAGTGTAGAATTTGACAAAATAGTGATGTCTATTGTTATGTCAAAGTTATACTATTTCACTCTGCAAATCATTTTGTATATTGCCTTAATGTATCTTTACACCCAATTATCCTCTTCATATAAATAGTTCCGGACACAAAACAGGTTGGTAATTTTTTTTATAAATTTAATTTCCATCAATTTAAAATTATTGTCAGTACAGTTTCTATGATTTTACTGATGTGTTATGATATTATTCATGTCAAACAGTTATTAACATTTGTGTTATGTCTTCAAATTGGTTTCTGCGCAATTACACTTTTTTAGAATGCTCTATTATGTTTAAAAAAATATCTAGGCTTCGAGGTTTTGTGTTGCTCGTTAATGTCATGACATTCACATTGGGTTTACGTCGGATATTCTAAATTTCTTTTTTTCAATACGCCAAAAATTGCATCACATACCAGCAATCATGAAATGCAAATTACTTGTTTTGTGTAAACCTTTTGCTCATGCTTTAAACGGCATTGGGTTCATGTGTTCGACTTTCATCATCCTCGATTGTTTGTTGATAATCATGACAAATTTCAAATATTTGAACCTTTTGTGGTGTTACAAAGTAAAGTGCTCAAACATCTTGAGATTAATGTGTCAAATTTACATATTATGAAAAGTCAAAAGTGTAATGAACCTTTTCAAAATTTGTTGAACAAGGAGCGTTATACTTTCCTATTGGATATTCATCCAACTTTGATTCTTTGCGTGCTTTTTCTGTGTAAAGTTCATAGTATTCATGCTCTGTTCGCGCAGATTGCATATGATCAGTTAGTATTTGTGTTTTCTCTAATTTCGCGTCTTCCAAAATATTTAACTCCCTCAACTTGCAGCACGTTTTATATAGATCAACTTTTGGTTTCATAATTTGAATACGAGGCACACATATGCATTCCGTAGAACACAGAATAAACATTCTAGTTTCATAACACTGGAACACTATTTAGGAGTTCACAATAGAAATGTGATACAAATTTGGAGAAAAATGACAACATATTCAAAATAACGTCGATGCGCAACTTTATCGTGACGTTACTCTATTTAACGTCGAATTGCATACGGTAATTTCTATCTGTCGCAACTCATATGTTATACATTGTAGGAGAAGCATGACGGTGGACATAAATATCAGGATCTGCTAACATTATCGGAGCACCTGAGATCACCCACGGGTGTCTGGTGTGGTTTATGTTGCTCAGTCTTTGGTTTTTTGTTGTGTTTTGTAAATGAAGTGTTCTTTGTCTTTTAATTTTTTTACATGGTACTGTCAGTTTATATATCCACTATTGAGTTTAAAGGTCCCTTTGATATATCTTGCCTCTCTTTTATAGCTTAATTTTCGTAGTCCGTAAAAAGATTGTCAGTGCGAAGTTACAATAATATTGTACATCTAGTTCAAAAATTGTATCAAATTAAACTTTTATAAGGATCTGAAGGTGGGGTTTCATATCTGTATTCTTTATTTTTTTCGGCCATTTTCTTTCTTCTCTATACATTAATGTTGCCCTTTATTCGCAATTCTTTGTATTTGAGCACCCCATTATTGTCTATTCTTCAATGTGTTGGCCTATGTTTGTCTATTATTTATCTGTTGGTACATTTTTATGTAGTTTAGCCTATTGTTCTGTATTCTGTAATCCCCACCCAGACCCTATTTCATTAATTAAATGTAAAATTTGTTTGGGCACTTAGCTTCAATCTTAATAAATACATAATAAATACATATTATTACTAAATCCATCATCTTTTTATAATCATTTAAGATGAAGACAACAGGCTTACTTGTGACTGTTATGAGCGTATTGTCTGCTAGAGCTTCGGAAAAGAGTTGCGATAGTCATAAATTAAGTATAAAAGAACCTCTTGCAAATGTGAAACACCGTTTAGAAGAAATAGAACATAGAGAAAATGGTGAGGTTTCTGTAAATTAAAGATAATCATAGAGCATCTACTTTAATTTGTTATATACAGAAAATATATTCCATGTACTGAACTCATTTTGTTGCAAACCGTGTAACTTCTTGAACACGAGATGACTTAGTCAAGTTAGTGGCAAATATACTTTATCTTATCGTTGCATTTATGGTCTTTTATCTGTATCTCACAAAAAAGAGACTGTTCTCGTATCATACTGAAACTTTTTGCAACGAAGATGATTATTTCATTAATATTAACAAAACCCACAGATATCGAAAATATTAGCATGATTAAAGAAGAGCATAAAGCGAAATCAAATATGATCAGAAGAGTTTAAGGGCAGTTTTTAAAACCTTGAATTAATATATATAAGTGGCGATTTACATGTAGCAACCCATGTTAAGCGAGAAATCCCTGCAAGTATGAATGAGGACAGAAATCTTACACTGACTTGATTCACAATTTTTTACTACTTGTAATGCATGAATGATCTTCTTTTTATTTGGAAGGCACAAATGGTTTTATTGATTATCTGGGAAGAAAAATTGTGTGACAAACAAAAGCAGAAAGTAATTTTATTCTTCTTTTTCATTGCAGATCACACGTGTAAATTCGGTGGTACTCGCAAAAAGAATGTTGCATTTCGTGCCAATCTCGGAACAACATTACGAAATTTGAGTCCAAAAGCAGTTGTAGTAGTTGACCAAATCGTTCTCAACATTGGAAAGGCTTACAACACTTTAAACGGATTGTTTACTTGTCCCGAGGATGGTGTGTATAGTTTTACTTGGGCTGCAATGACTTCCCCTAATAGCAGTTTTGAGAGTGATTTTGTAGTCAACGGTAAAATTGTGGCAGGAAATCTTGCCAGCTCTCACAACGACAACGAGTATCAACCAACAACTAAGACCGTGGTAGTGCAACTCAAGAAAGGCGATAAAGCCAATGTTGCAACGTTGCAATGGAAATTCTGCAAAACAAATACACGATTTCTGGTTTACATCTTATTCTGGTTTTAGGGTTTTCTAACAAATAAATGAATTATAACAGTGTAAATGCGTATTTTGATTCGTTTATGTTATTGACATGGCACGAGAAAATATAAAAGGTCCAATTTAAGTAAAGTTAAAGTCACTATGATATTGATCCACGAAGTTCATCTTTTTTGTCGTCGGTTGATGGGGTGCAAGTAAAAAATACTGGAAATATTTCAAACTTCACTTATAACTTTTTTCTTTATTCCATGATTTACTCTTCCGGCAGTCTCAAATTTTGTTAATCAATAGGTCACCGTACGGCCTTCAACAATGAGCAAAACCAAAACCGTATTGCCAGCTATAAAAGCCACCAAAATGACAAATAAAAAGCAATTTAAACGAAAAAGAGAAGGAATATTAAAGTAGACATTAAAAACTACCAAGTCGACGTAAAACTGACAAGGTTCCAAAATGACAAATGTAAAACAATTCAAACCTTAAACATTACAAAAATAGACTGAAAATATTTCAAACTTCAATTATAACGGTTTTTCTTGATCCCATGTTTACTCTTCCGGCAGTCTCAAATTTTGTTAACACAATTGGTCAGCATACGGCCTTCAACAACGAGAAAACCCAATATCGCATAGTCCGCTATAAAAGGCCCCAAAATCACAAATATAAAAAAATTTAAATGAAAATACTGACGAAAAAGAGTTGGAACATTAAAGTAGACATTCAAAACTACCAAGTCGACGTATCACTGACAACGTCATGACAAAAAAAACAAACCAACAAGTCCACAAACCCTACATAGTGACAAAAGACTGAGCAACATGCACTCCACAGTCCGAACGGTCTCTTTTACTGGACATACATTGTACCTATTATATTTATAACTGTTAATTTGTTCTCTTTCTAAACATGCATGAAATATTTGCGAGTTGACGTTAAGCAGCCAATAATCAATCACATCAACACACAACAATTACTAAATTACAGGTTCCTGTAAAAGGACATGCACATATATAATTATTGATATAGTTCTGAAACAAAAATTTAGGGAAATAGCATACATTTCTTGGGTTTATGCTGGTAGAAACACATGTACGTAACGTTTTTTAACACAGTATACGCCTATTGATTGGATGTGAGGGTAATATGCTAGTTTGTTGTCCCTAATATACTAACTATTGCTCGAGGCGAGGTTAAGCCGAGGGCAATAGTTGGTATGCGAAGGGACAACAAATTTACTATTACCGTCACAACCATTCATTAAGTGTTTTATTATACTGAACAACACAACTTTCAAAGAAATCTTCAAAATACCATCTGACACATCAAATGCCAGCTTTATCATCAACATTAGTGAAGTCTACCCCTCTATGATTTTTGAACGGCCTCACCACCTTCTCTCTAAAATATCGCAGCCCTTTTGCATCTTTTTTCATCTCAAAATCATAACTTTGAACATTACGGATATTTTCCCTTCCTCTTTTTCAAAAGTAATATAAATATTCAAAAACACTCTCTTTTGTAAGGACTCAGGTGTTTAAAGAAAAATTGTCTTATTTATACAATTTTTGTAAGTCTTCGGGACAAATAGGCTCCTTGTGGTTAACAGCAGCTTTTCCTTCTTTTTTCATCTGAACCATCATTGCCTTTAGCATGTCATTTGCAGTATTAAACATTTCACTATTAATAATGTCTTTGATCTTTTCTGTTTTCTTCTTCTTCTTCTTCTGGTATACAGTTACAGCTTCATTTATATTGAAGATTACGAACTGTTGCATGCGCGGAGTATATGATTAAAATTATATAGAACAAAAATTTATCTTTAAATTTGTAGAATACTTGGTGATATTTACATGAAACAAAGACAACAAGTGATTAAAAATATGTACATTGGTATTTATAGAATTAATTTATGTTGTGGAGAACAGTTTGTGTCAACTGATCTCTATAGGTTTTAATTGTTTGACATGCTACTACAACTTGTGGTAACATGTTCCATTGGATGATTGTTTGCGGAAAAAATGACCATTTGTAACTGTCTTTAGAGGTGGATATTTGCCGAAATGTTTGGGTATGTAGTTTTCTTATTCTAGTATCTGATGGTATAAGGACTAGTGATGGAATTGCGATGAGTCCATGTATTACTTTATAGAACATGATTAGTCTGGTTTTGAGGCGACGCTCAGTTAGTGAGGGCCATTGTAGTTCGTTTAACATGGATGTAACACTACTGGTGTTGTGGTAGTTGTTACATACATAACGGGCCGCACGCCTCTGTACCATTTCTAGCTTATTTTTATATTCTGCTGTGTGCGGATCCCATAAACTACAGGCATATTCAAGTTTTGGTCTCACTATGGATTGGTATGCACGAGATTTGATATTGGTGTTTGATACTTTTAAGTTTCTCCTCGGAAAGCCAAGAGATTTATTTGCATTTGATATGATGTTGTCGTAGTGATTGTTCCATTTTAAGTTGGACTGTAAGGTTACGCCGAGATATTTTGCTGATGTTACTGGTTCTAAAATATGGTTATGCAGAATGTAATCGTGTTTGAATGGTTTCTTTTTCTGTGTGATGGTTAAAATTGTGCATTTTCCTGGATGGAAGGCCATGAGCCAATCAGCCTCCCATTTAGCTGCTGCATTAAGATCTGTTTGTAGTTTTATGCAGTCTTGTTGACATGTAATTTCTCTGTATATAATGCTATCATCAGCGAAGAGTCGTAATTTGCTGTGTTCAAGATATTCTGGAAAATCATTAATGTACTAATGTTTTCAATGAAATGTTTTTGTAATATGAATTTAAGAGTGATGAGGCATTTTTTAGCATATATACTGTTCCATTCGATTTTCTCACCTCCCCATAAAACTTTCAGAGTGTTTTAACAACATCCTTCGATAGTTTTGAATGCACCGTCTTTCTCAAGTAATTAATACCAGATTATCCGTTTGCCATTCCAATAACATTTTTTGTACTTTTTGAATCTCTGTCATTAAGTTTTTTGACAGATCTCCGGGTTCTACAATGTTCTAATAAAAAAAATCTTGTACCTGCCATACTATAATGATGTTTTGAACGTCTGATGTTTACTTCCTGTTTTCGATATTTCAGTGTTTTATCAGGAACATATTTATTACATATACTGTTTAAATCTAATAACGGGTTAATAGTCTTTGAAACTATTGACTTGCAAATAGTCTGTAGAATAAAATAGTACAAACATTTCATTTATTTACATAGAAAAATATACAGAAGTATAATATTTGATATTGTTAATGTTTTAAAAGTGAAATTCCCTACCTAATGCCATTAATATACAATTTTAGTTTAAAACAGTATCGTGATTTCTATTTATTTCGGGTTGGGTTCCTTGAGCTAAATATTAGTATAAATGCAATATCAGGGATGGTGACAGATAATGTGGCTGGGGGTCTCGAATTTAAAATGTTTGGGAAAATCCCAATAAACAAGTGTTAAAACAATGAAAAAGTGTAAATATATTCAACCAAATCCCATAAAGAAATCACATAAGCCCCAATTATTATATTCCTTTATAAATACCACTTAGAAAACAAGTGAAGGACTAAACTAGACCCATATGACATATGTTAAAGGCAGAAAAGTAACTTCATAAAGTGATTTTTTTAAGTTAAAAAAAACCAGCTGATATGTAGTTACTCTGACTTACAGTTAAATATAATATCCGCTCAGATTGTTAAAAACACAATGAAATTCACAAATACTGATAATTTAGTCTACTATAATAGTCTTGGTGACGGTATATTTTGACATAAATAAAAGGGAAACAGTCTTGTCGTACATCCGTAAGCATATGCTAAACATTGGGGCCCAGTTTGACTCTATGGGATGTATAAAATACGCTGTCAAGTCCAGCCGGAATAAGGAAGTGTAATACGATGCATCGTATAGACAAAGTGTCATGCAGCTGCACGTTAAAATTCCCTGCAACACCTTTATGAGGAATCCGATGGTGGGCTGGTGTAACATTTAATTTCGGCCCTATCCAACACAACCCTTGCCAGTGGCAGTATGAATACCATCATCAATCTATTCTACGCATTCTACAGTACCAACCTTTCGGACTAGTTACAGTTTTGTTATCGTCCTAAATATGCATGAAATATTTGCCACTGGACGTTACGCATATGTTTTAGTAAAATTTTATTTCGAATAACATCGCTGACCAACATAAATGAAATTGTTTCCAACATGCAATGCATAGTTTACTTCGGACAGATATTTGGTTCTCCTTGAAAAAATACTGGGTCATGATATATCTAAATTGCATTCCCGAGTAATTTGAAGATGTTTATTTAGGGTTAAATGATCAGAAATGCACAATTATATATATGTTTTTAAATACTTAAATATAAACATATAAAATTGTGAATATGATGATACTGATCATCGAAATAAAATTAAAAAAAAAGGTAAAAATGCCCCTGTTGTGGAATAAATTCGTAGTAAATTGATCTTACTTCTTAATTTCCTTATTTCAATCAGAGTTTTATACATTGTATAGATAGCTGTCTATTGTTTCCGACTGTAAGACGCCAGTGAGGTACGGTTATCTTTGTCGTTGCATTGCTGCCTAATTGATGCATATCCATATCTCCTTTTTTCATATGCATATGAAAGGAATGAGACATCGTACGTAGATTGAGTGGATCGACGTGTTTCGTGTACGCAAATTATGCCTGTCAAAGTGCAGAATCTGCTGTCGGTGGTTGACTGGTTGTCATTATGATCCATGTTCTTTTTTTTTAATTTGCTTTAGTTCATTCTTTGCGACGGGATGATTTATCATTTGTTGTTCCTTTACATAAGCCATTATGATATGTATAAAATACTAAAAAAATATTTGTATATTTGGACAGCATTATACGAAAACAAAACGATAGTGAGGAGGAGACTTCCAGTATTAGTTTTGGTGTACAGTCATGACACCACATGATTTGATGAACGGACCTCGATCATAGGTTCCCGGTAGACGTCTATCTGA